TATTTAATATAGATTAAGTGTTAATAGAATTAAGCAAAGTTAAGTTTCATTATATTTAAATTTGAATGTTTGTAAGTTAAGTTTTATAACTTTGATTTTCTTTTAAGGTTAAGTTTTGTTATTTCCTTTTGTCATAATTAATTTTTATCAGGTTTAAATATTGTTTAATTTGAATTGTTTTATGTTTTTGTTGAGGACACTTGTTTAAACTGCAAAGTGTAGTTATTTTCCCAGAGAGATGAAGATGACTACGACTAAAACAGCTGAACACCTGCTTGTGAATAGAAGTGAATGTAGTCTGTGACACCCTTGATTTCATCAGTAATTCTATTGTTTGTTGCAATCTCTGCAGTTTTTGTTTTTTATAGCTTTATTATTTTTCAGTGTTTCCAGAATTTCAAGAAAATGTACCATTGCTGAGGGTCAGCTGCCATGGGAGAGGCTTCAGATTAAACCAACTGCTGCATGGTTTAAGTGGTCTGTTACCTAAGGCTTCTGAACATTTGCTTTGTACAAATGCATTTCAACAGTTTGCTGCACTGTAAGTATCTCATAGCTGCTATTATTAAAAACCTTGTTTTGAAAAAAAGTTAAAAGGCATCTTTCCAGTTTAAAGCCTAAGGCCCTGGCCAAGCCATGACTTTACCTGGATGGAATGTTTGCCAACAGATCCAGATGTTTTTTGTACCAAATCAGTATTTGAGTCACTTTTTCACTTGGCAATTTGACCCTATTAATACGACAGCTGGATCAATTTTGAAGTGGGCTTGGAGAATCATTTCTGGATGTGGTTATCCAATCCTTCACTGATTTTTTTTTTTTGTTTGTTTGCAGACTGTGAGATGCTGATGCAGTGTTTCAGTAGTTAATGGTAGTTTTATATTACATATGTTATTAATAATGTTTATGATTTGATTGATTTTTAACTGCTATAAAGTTTTTTCTTACTCATTGTGTAAGTAGTTTTGTATTGTTATTGATGTATATGACAGAAGTACATTTCATTTTTATTTTTTTTAAAAAAATGGGGGGAATTGATGCCCTAAAAGCTTTTGATAAGTGCAATATGTGTATTAAAAATTTGGACCGCAAGAATGAAATATTTACATCAAAATTTAGAAAGATCATATAAGCTGTATATATAATTAAATGTACCACAGCTAAGTCAAAATAATTTATTAACTTCAAGGGGGGAAGTACCTGTGTTTTGTTGACAGGTTCAAAAAGGTCACCTGTTCATCTGACCAGACTGTCTGCCTCTGAACACATGAGACCCAGTGAACAGAGACATCACCACACAACCTTGATACTCCAGACAAGATCAGAAGTGGAGCTGCCAGGACACAGTTGTGTCTGAAAACTACACAGACAGTTTGCCAAAAGAAATTTTATGTTGCTATTTTGTTATTATGATGTTGTGTCTCTACCAATTTTTTTAGTTATTTTCTGTTTTAAGATTTAGAAGGATGTGAAGAACAATCTGAACATTGATGCCCTCAGTCAGTCACCAATCGGCTGCCAGTTGACGTCACCAAAGCAGCAGATGTTCCAAGACTGAATTGTGTTAAATTATAGTCTGTTTGTAAGAAGAACTTTGTAGAAGATAAAAAGAGTATAGAGACTCCATCTAACTGTATATAAAAGCAAATTGTAATTGTATTTTACCCTTTAAGCAAATTGCTTTCACACTTAAGATTGCATAAATACCAGAGCATGTGTGTTAAAAGTAGTTAGATAATAGAGTAGGATACAGAGTTTAGCTTGTGTGATAATTGTTATTTGTAGGTTATTGATAAGTTTAGGAAAGATATTAGTATAAAGTATAAGTATTCCCCCTTCAAGAGTTAGTGTAAGCATATTTGAAAGTTCATTTAACCTTAAAACCTAGCTGTGATTCTGAAAGCATGGTGTCATTTGCATGGAACAAATTGCTTATGGTAATTGTGTTGTGTATAGTCCCAGCTGTCTGCTAACTAACATCCAAAAGTGACAGAACATATGGGTCACTCTAGGACACTTGACAGGTCAAAAATGAATGTGTCTAAGCCTAGACCACACCTGGAGATCCTTTTCGCATCTGTCTCATAGGAGTCCCTGAATCATTCAAGCATTTAAAGGTTTATGTAGAAATGAGAATCGATTGAATCAATTGGCAATGTTGCAAGAGTGCAATCGCACTGTTGACTTCACATCAAGACAACTTGAAGCCTGCTGGCAAGCAAAAAAATTATCTAAGTTCTCAATGTTACCATAGGGCCCCCAGAAAAATTGGATTTGTTAAGTTCCACCAATACCTCAGGTGGATGGATAATGTTTGAGCCCCTGACAAAAAGCCACTCCAACAAAGTAATGCAACACTGGGCTACAGTTAACCCTATACTTGATCTCATTACTAACACCAAAAGTAAAGCTTTTTATTCACAGTGCAATTTCACAGGACAATTGCCAAGGCGATTACCTAGTTCCATATTCCTAATCTGTGGAGATAGAGCATGGAATGGAATTCCTGCTAGTCCACATGGAGGACCCTGTTATTTTGGGAAACTTTGTTCCATCCAAACTTAACACCAGTTGCTGAATATAGCTGGTAAAATAAGAAACATCAAACAGTCAAAGTGAAGCCTGAATGAATTACAGTGTGATGATGTTAGAGACCCAGACTTTTGGGGTCATAGTATGATATGGCTAGCCTCCTTTTTACTGCAGGAACAGCTGCTGCTAAAGGCTCGTCAACTCTAAAAAGGCTCGCTTGTTGGACCAGGAAAGAACTGAACGTAACATCAACAATGTTAAGTGAACTTTCAGCTGATGTGACTGGTGTATGTCATGCAGTATTGCAAAATCAAGCTGCTTGAACCTTACTGATCATTCAGTTTCCATCCACAAGCAACTACAACTGCTACAGAATGGGTTACATGCCCTGAAAGAAGATAGTGACCCCATTGGAAATTTGTTTGCCAGCTGGGGCATCACTGGATGGCTGAGGTCTCTTATGCTAGAAGGGGGATGGTTTTTACTTATGGTGTTAATTGCAATAGTGGTTTTAAGTTGTATGTTATCTTGTCTCTGTAGAAGTGTAGAACAAGTCGCATCCAAAGCCTGGCTTATGCAAAAAGAGAAAGGGGGAATTGTAGAGAATATTTTATATTTTAGTAAAAGCCTGTCTGCACAAACCAGCCTTTGGTATAAGCGACAATATTAAAGGCTAATGTCCTTGAAACTCTCCTGAAACAGAGAATGAAGCAAAACAATATCCTTGTGTATAAGAGAAAAAATGTAAACCTATGTGTATTAGCCAATAGTAACTTGCTTAGCCCGCGGACCCTGTCAAACCCTATAAAAGGTGTGCTAAAGACAGAAATAAATGGCGTTCACTATACTTCTGTGTAGAGTCATGAATAGTCTGGCTGTCTCTCAATAGCTCTGTGTACAGAGTAGCTGTCCCAGAGCTGAAGGGAGCAGCATTTATAAACAGTTTCAAGATTTCTAGGCAGGAAGGGGAGCTGGTGGCCATTCCTGGAACTCGTGGTGTTCATCAGGAGGGAGTGCTGGTTCTTTAGGAATAAGGAACAATGGAGACAAAATAGTTTGGAAAAATCCCAGCTCTCTGTGGATTTGTGCAGAGGTGGGCAGCAGAAACACTTTGTGTCTGCTCTTGTGGACACAGGGTCCAATGAGCTTCAGTGGCAGAGGGTGACAAGGGTGGTGGCAGGTGAAGTTTTGTTTCATGACATCCTAGAGTGGCACAGGACAAAGCTTCATGTCCCCACAGTCACACTGATCAAGTCTTTGTGATGCTGCACATCCTCTAGGAAAATCTGCTGTCCTGCAGTCTATTGGGATTTATAACTTCTCTTAGAAATACTTCAGGCCTAACTTTCAAACTGCAATATGTTTGCACTCAAGGCACAGTCATGTTGGAGGTGACTGGGAGTGGCTAAGGGCAACTAGAATGCTGCAATCTGCTGAGAGCAACTGGAAGTGAGTGGGAACACACTGGGGGTAACTGGGATATATTGGGAGAGACTGAGACTGACTGAGATCATAGAGCAATCATAAAGGGAGTTAAACTGGAATATTACTGGGAGTATCTGGGAGTGAGTGGAAGCATACTGGGTTATTTGGAGCAACTGAGACCATGCTGGGAACAAATGGCATCATACTGAGGGTGACTGGGCTCATACTAGAATCATACTGGGACTGGAGCCATAGTGGGAATAATCATACCGGAGGTGACTGGAACCATATTAGGGGTGAATGAGAACCCCTGGGGCCATGCCATGATCACAGTGGTATCATACTGAGAGTGACTGGGATCATAATGAGAACTATAGGGACGATAGAGGGAGTGACTGGGAGCCATAGGGCCCATTCTGGGAGCAACCTGCAGCCTCTCTGGTTGGAATTGGGTGAACGGGCTCATCTGGGGCTCAGGGTTGTTCTACCCCAGGGCTGCCCTGGGTCTCACTGCTGTCCCCAGCTCCACAGAGCCAAATGACACAGAAGAGACTAGGAACCTGGAACAGACAGGGAACATGGACAAGGGCATTTCCAGCAGTTTGGACTGTTGTGCATGGGCTGTTGCCCTTGGGGTCCCAGAAGAGGCAAAATGACAAGCAAAAATAATCCTAATGAAACTCCTTTCCTCCACCCTTCCCTCCTTCCCAGGCTTCAATTTATCCTCAGCTCCCTCCCTCTTCCCCACCACTAGTACAGGCAGAATGGGAGGGGGTTTATGCTCACTTCATACTGCTACCTCCCCAACAGGGAGAGAAGTCCTTGCCCTGTTCTGGGGTGGGGTCCCTTCCATGAGGTCAGTCCTCCATAGACTTCTCCCATGCAACCCCTTCCCAGTTTGCCTCTTCATCACCTGCTCCAGAGTGGAGGTTTTGATTGATTTTTTTTTTTTTTGCACAATCATTGTTTTTCACTTTAGCAAATGGACTTATCTTAACTGACAGAGTTTCAGCAAACAGACTCAGACTCATCCCAACCTGTGAGTTCTTTTTAGCTAAAATTTAAACAAATACAAACAACAGAGAATCAGCACCACATTGTGTGGGATTAACAGCAGCTGGTGGTGGATCTCTGCTTAAAAGGGAGGTTTCAGGTGGAATTCAGGATTTCTGAATCCTTCTGAACTTCACTGGGATGTTTCTGCAGGTGGCTGCAGATGGAGAATTTCATCTCAGAGCACCTGTCACTGCTGATCCTGTGCGAGTTCGTGTAGGCGCAGTGGCCGTTGCCCTGGATGTCAAACCTGGATCAACAGCAAAGTAAGAGCTCATGGGACACAGCTGGGATGAGAGGGATTCCCATTTTCAGAGAGATTAACAGTGCTGCAGGAGCAGGGACCAACCTCCCAAGCAAAATTCCCATGAAGAACCCAAACTACCTTCCACTTCTCAACAGAGGGAATATTTTCATGTTCTTGGTCCCAGGAGATTCATCCAGGGATGCCATCAGGCCCCCATCAGCATCTGCATCCCACAAATCCATGGGTTGTGTCTGAATGCTTTGGCACAACCAGGGAAAGTAGTGTTTGATTGCTCCCACCTCATCAGATCTGTACCTACTTATGCCTCCTGCATCCAGCCCCCACCCCGGCTCATCCCAGGCTATGGTTTTGTTCTTCGGAAAATGGGACATACAAGGCATTGAAGAGGGAACCATTGAGCCATTTCCAAGGTCCGGAACCTTCTCTCCGGAGACCAACCCAGTACTCCATGAAGTTCCCATAGCGCAGGAGGAAATTCTGGAGGTGGGGAAAGCAAGGATCACAGGTACCTCCATGCCACTCCCTTCAGGAAATTTCCTGCAATTTCCAAATCTGCTTCCCAGAGGCTGTTCCACACCACCTCCTTGGGGGTTTCTCTTACCAGCTCCTCCCTGGTGTCGATGGTGGCCAGGTGGGCTTGGCGGGAGAGGCAGAAGTGCTGACTCCCTTCCCAGTCCACTTCCTCCTCCAGGAAGTAAAAGCACTTCTTCCCAAAGCCGATCCCACTCTCCAAGCAACTGGGCAGGGTTGGAGCAGTGCAGGATTGGTGTTTCTTAGCTGAAAACAAGCATAACATGCCCAAATGACTCATGCTGGGATTTTTCTCCAAGGAGGAGGCTTTTGGGTGGTTCCTGCACCCTCAGCCACTCACCTGCCAGTGCCATGATGACAACTGTGAGAAGCAGCACCACGGTGAGCACAGTGACCACAATGGTCACCTTTCTGGTTCTGGTGCATCTGAGGCTGAAATCTTGGGACAAACGATGTGGGAAGGGCATGAAGAGAACCCCATGTTCTTCCAGCCCTCACATTTCCTTCAACAACTTCCAACACAGCCCCAAAACACACTGGAAGCTCCCAGTGGGACACAAGTTTAGCCCAGGGGGCTTCCAAGGATTTTTGAGGCTGCCCAACCTCCCTGCATCACCTCTGTGCCGTCCTCCACCATGTAATGGGATCCATCCCCTAGACCCTCACCTTGCAAACACTTTGACATTTCTTACTCCCCCTTCCCCAGCACCTTCGATCATTTTAGTTTCCCCCAGCATGCTGAGCCATGTCCTGAGACAACATTCCCACAATCAAACTGGGGCTTACTGGTCCTTCCCTCTGCTCTCTCCTGCAGTAGCTCCATCACAGCAGCTGAGTCTCCACCTGTACAAACAAAGCAAATTCTGACTCACACTTGGAGTGGGAAAGGCCTGATTTGCAATATTTTTCTCCTAGGACAGTCAGGCACCATTGTTCCTTTGCCACGTTTATGTTTGTGGCAGGAAGGAAAACACAATTTCAGCTTTCCAAAAATCAGGACTTGCTTGGTTTTTTCAACTCTGCTTCAATCTGCTGGCTCTCAGTGTCCTGGAAAGGTGCTTGTACAAGTCAAGAGGGGTTTTCAGTCCCAGTCCCCATTCCAGGCCATCCAAGGCACCCCAGAAGGTGTTAGATGGCACCACTTGAGGCAACCCTGATTCCCCACCCTGTGCAGGGCAGCTCGTGAAGATGCGGGGGCAGGGGATACTGCCTCTGTACCTTCTTCACAAGTGGCTTCTGCCATCCCCGGGGCCACAGAGGAGACAGGGCCACTCTCCAGGACAAGAGTGTCCCTCAGCTCCTCCCAACACGAGGTGATCTTGGACAACACCTCAAGCTCACAGGGCCCAACCAGATCCTGCTCCCTCCTGGAGCTTTGCCAGGATGCTCCTGTAGTCCTAAAATAAAAACACAAAAAGCTGATAATCCTCCCAACCTCCTGGGTAGTCACAGCTCTCCTCAGCAAAGCAAAGCTGGTCCCAGAACAATTTGCTGAATATTTGTAAGGAAAAAAATCAGAAAAACAGAGCAAGGGTTGACTGACACAGACTGGAAATACTTATGGAGGCTGCTAGTCAAGTCACTGGCAACTGCAAAATGTTTCGATATTTATTACAACTATATAGAGCCCTCACATGAATGTCCAGCAGATGTTTTTGTCATCACTGTAAATAAAATTATTACCAGTCTCTGCACCTGGTACTTCCCCCAGGTAAATATATATGTATTTTCCATGTGAGAACCACCTGCCTGTGTCTGCAAAGGTAAGACCCCAAGGGATGTTTTTTTCCCTCCAAATGCTTGAATTTTAGTTTAATTGATGTGGTGTTTTGTTACTGCTCCCAATCCCCCAATTCCTCCTGCTCCAGGTTGCATCTTGGGATGAAAAACTGGTGGGGGAGGAAGAGGTGGGGAAAAGAGGTTGGAGGCACAGAAATTTCTCTCCTTCCAAGCTTTTCCTCTTATTTCCTCTCTCCCAGATTTCTTGACTCCCACCCATTCATGCACCTGTTTTAGATCAAAGCAGCTGCTTCAGTCTACAGAGTGAGGAGGCACCAGCTCACAAGCCCCCTCCAAGGTGCAACACTGGCCCCTTCAACCACAGGCCACAAGTGCCATGGATGATTTAGGGGTGATATAACCTATCAGCCTTTCCCATACAGAGCCATTCCCACTCCTGGGCACAGCCTCTGCTCCAGGGAAAGGCTCCAACTCCATTCCAGAACAAGATTCAAGTTTAAATAAACTGTCTCTAGGCTTGGAAGTAGAGGAACGATGCAGGTTTTTCCTCTCCCACCTCATACCTGCAAAGAGGCAAGAGGAAACAGAGCTGGGGAGGGCAGAAGTGGTGCTTAGGCTGAGGGCCTCTTCCCTGCAGCAGTGCAGGGACACATCTATGTCTGCTGAGGGTGGCTTTGCTCACCATCAAGTGGTCTAAGCGTCCCCAGATACTAACCCACCACAAAGGCACTGCTGCAGAAGCTAGAAGGGACTGAAAAAAACCCAATAAAATCACTGAAAAGCACTTACATGGCAGCAAAAACTAGCTCACCCAAAAAACACATCCAGACACTCAAACCACAACCCCATGATAGCAAAATCTTTAATAAAACCAGCTGAAAAGTAGTGAGTTCAGGGTTTTATCCCCCTTTCTCTTTAATTTGCTACATTTATTTCATCAACTGGTTATTTCAATCCCCTCAAAGATGAGGCCATGGTCTGCGTGTTCAGCTCCATCCCATCCCTGGCATTGTTTCAGCCAGTGCCAACTCAACCAGCCCTGAGTTTTACAGAGAGAAGCTGCTTTTCCAGAACTCACCCTCACAGCTGGGCTCATGGAGACTGAACCAAATCCCTGAGGCTGTGTAAATATGAGCTCATGGAGATGGGAAACAGATTTCTGAGGCTGCTTAACACACACTGGGAATGAGGGCAAAGAGTTCATAGTCACAGTCTGAGCACTTGGCTGTGCTCCAGCAGTTTGGGCTGTTATGCCCAGCGTGTTGCCCTATGGCTCCCAGGAAAAGCAAAGAGGTAGAGAGCACCCTCCAGAAACTGTTGTTTGCTTTAAGCTTTATGTTTAACATTCCCAGTGTGCCACATGTAATGGTTTGTGCCTGACTGGGTGCCTGGTGCCACCAAGGCTGCTCCATTATTGGCTTTTTCAACCAATGTTTTTTTAGGATTATTTATTTATTAGGATTATTTTTGCTTGTCATTTTGCCTCTTCTGGGACCCCAAGGGCAACAGCCCATGCACAACAGACCAACCATTGTTTTCAACTCCTCAGTACCCAGACAGGACAGAGAACACCCAAGGAAAGGCTTATGCTCAGATCAGGGCAGGGAGAGGGCACTCCCCTGGCACTGCCATGGACACAACAGACTCAGCTTGGGGAAATTATTTAAATTTAAAATTGTGTCCTGTTGAATCACAACAAGAGAATGAGAATTAAAACAAATCCTAGTAAAACTCATCCCCCCACCCCTCCCTCCTTCCCAGGCTTCATTTTTATCCCCTATTCCCTCCCAGTGGTGCAAGAGAACTGGATGGGGGTCACTTCATTCTGCTCTATGTTCTCCTGGACCAATAAAAAAAAACCCTTCCCAGGAGTTCCCCCTAGCTGGTCTCCCTCCTTTGAAGTTCTTGGGTCCCCATGGATCCTGGTGATCTTCCCACTTGGAGTCCTGCTTAGGCATGTTGGGAGGTCCAGGGTTTCCTTTTTCCCTGAATCTGCTTCAACTCCCAGGTGGTCCCAGGGTTGCCCTCTTCAGGCTGCCCTCACTCCAGGCACTTGGGGCTCCTCACTCTCCCTGCTACTCCTTTCAGGGTCGGGGGTCCTGGCCCTCCCTCATCTCTGTGTTCCCCCACCCCTCAAGGCTGCCAGAGGTCCTCCAACTCTGGTATCACCCCTCTTTACTTTCCCAACTGCGTGGGTCCCGTGTTACACTCTCCTGGCTCTCCCGGATATTTCCAGAACTGATGTCCTGCCCCACCAGTACTGGGTGATCACTACATGGACCCCCCCCCCACAATGTCCCCACAAGGGGCATTCGAGGCTCATCTCTGGAGTTCTGCAAGTTCCAAACACACCCTCATCCCCCCAAGAAGACCTCCTAGGGAAATGCAAAAATATTTGGGGTTTGATTCCAGAATCTGAGAGCTCCAAACACCCCTCCAAAAAAATCCCTGCCAGAGACTTCCCAATATATTTGGGGCAAACTCTCCCTCCCCATTCACCTGAGGGATGTATGGGGTTCGATGCTCCTTGGGCCGGGGAAGCGGAGGACACAGTGATCAGTATCCCTCACACTTCTTCTTCTGCTCCTTTTCATGCTCCTCCTCCTTCTCTCTCTCTCCTCTTCCTCCCACTCCTTTCCCATCCCCTCTGCCCCACAGCCACAGCAGAACTGGCTGATTGGTGGGAAGAACCCCACCAGCAATAACATGGGGGAGAATCCCCTCAGCATGGATCTGCTCCCTCATCGCCCACCCTGAGCCCTAGGGATTCACTCCAGGGCTTAAGTGGTGGGAGATAAAGGGTGGACACCCATGGAACTGTCCTTCTTCCATCCCAGCTTCACCTTTTCCCTCCCTCTTCACCCTCCTTTTCCATTGTTCCCCCGGTTCAAGCAAGTCTCTGCTGTAGGTCACACTGTTTTTCTTTGGCTGATTCTGGCCCCGTACTGACCCCCAGCAGAGCCCTGGCAGAGCCCAGAGCAGCTTCAGCATTGGCAGAGCCCGGCTGCAAGGAGAGAAACCAGAAACCACCCGTCAGCTCAAGGCTTCTGTCCCCTTGTCCCAGCCACCCACGGTGCCCAGGCCATGCTGGCCGTGCTCAGAGCTGGGCCCAAAGCTGCCCATCACTGCTGCCTTTGGGAGCAGAGCAGGAGGGCAGGACATGTGCCCAGCCTGCAGCCAGCCACGGCAGATCCATCCCCTCAGCAGCTGCCCAGAGCGGGATGCTCCTGTGCCCGCTGCCATCTCCCAAAAGCTCTTGTCCCACCCATGCCAAGGAGATGAGGACCCACCTCACACCATCTGCTGCCAGAAGAATAGCTGGTCCCAAACGATGTCCTCAGCCTTCTCCAAGGGCACGCCCCATCCACACCACAGCTGGTCCCAAGCACTTCCCGATCCAGACTGGACACCACCTAGAATGCTTCCTTTGGAAAAACAAACAACAAATTAATGAAAATCGATTACAGACAAAAAGTGGAAACAATAAACAATTTTAAAAAGTCTTATCTGTCAGGGGCTTGAGAAAGGCCCAACCCCTGCATGCTATGGAAAAATCCACCCACGGGTGAGGGAAGCCCATGCTTTCTCCTTTCCCCCTGCACTGCCCTCTAAAATCATGGTGATCCCAAAGCAAAGCAGGGGAGTGGAGCAGCTCAAGCCCTTCCTTGCCTGCAAAGCAAAGCAGCCGTGCTCAGAGTCTGGAGTCCTACCTGTGCTCCTGACATGGGGGTTTGTTTGTGTTGGGTTGGCTCCCCCAGCTCCAGCCCCAGCCTGAGGCATGGAGGGTGGTGGGGGATGTTGCCAGGGCCAGGAGTCAACTCCCATTTCATAACCACCCCAACCCATGCCCCTGGCCCTGCCAAAAACCAGCTGGGCAGCCACTGAAGAATCAGCTGCATCCACCCAAGCAAAGGGGGAACCTTTAGTTGCCAGCCAGGCTGCACAAAGCCCAAATCTGGGAGCATCCCCCTGGGTCTGGACTGATCTGCAAATTTGCTGTGAAGCCTGGCTTAGAAGAAGGTGCCAGAATCAAAGTCCATCATCATCAGCTGCCACTAGCCAGGTGGAGGAAGCAGTTGTCATCCTTTTTGTCGTCCTCCATGTCTCCAGCAGCAGCAGGAGCCCCACCTGGTACAGCTTCCCCAGGGACTCCTTCTTCCTTGGGGGTGGGACCAGGCTGTCAGGGTTCTGCCCTGCAACATCCAGGCACACGGGGGCACACGGGGGCACACAGGGGCACACCTGAGCACATCCAGGCACACCGGGACACAACTGGGAATACCAGGGCACACCCGGGGGCACACGGGGGCACACCTGAGCACATCCAGGCACACCAGGGCACAACTGGGAATACCAGGGCACACCCGGGCACACCCAGAAACACCTGTGCAAACCTGGGCACAACCAGGCACACCTGGTAACACCTGGGCACACCCAGGCACACCAGGGTGTGCCTGGGCGTGCCCAGGCACATCGGGCACATCTGGGCACAACCAGTCACTCCCAAACACACCGGGGTACACAGGGGCACACTTGGGCATACCCAAGCACACGCAAGCACACAAAGACACATCTGGGTACACCCTGGCACACTGGGGCACACCTGGGCACACTGGGACATACCTGGGAACACTTGGGCAGACCCGGGATCTCCTGGGCACAGCAAAACACACCAGGGCACACCTGGGCACACTGGGGCACACCTTGGCGCAGTGGGACAGATGGGGGCACACAGGGGAGCACCCGGGCACACCCAGGACCACAGGGGCACACCTGGGCACCCACGGGCATGACAGGGCACACTTAGGCACACTGGGGCAAACCTGGGCACACTCAGGCAACCTGGGGCACACCTGGACACACCGGGACACACAGGAACACACTGGGGCACACCCAGGCATGCCTGAGCACACTGGGGCACCCCAGGGCACCCCCTGAACACACCAGGGCACCCTGGGGCACACCCAAGCACACCCAGGCACACCTGGTCACTCTGGGGCACACCCGAACACAACCAGGCACAGCCAGGTACACCCGGGCACACTTGTGCACAACTGGGCACACCTGGGTGCACCCGGGAACTCTGAAACACACTGGGGCACACCTGGGTGCACACCCAGGAACACTGAGGCACAGCAGGGCACAGCAGGGCACACCGGGGCACACCTGGGAACACCAGGGCACACCCAAACACACCCAGGCACATGGGAACACACTGGGGCATACCTGGGCACAACTGGGCACACCTGGGAACACCTGGGCACACCTAAACACACACAGGGCACACCCGGCCACACCGGGGCGACCAGGGAACACTGGGACACACCGGTGCACACCCAAACACACCCAGGCACACCAGAACACATCTGAACACACCTGGGTGAACCTGGAAACACCAGGGCATTCTTGGGCACACTTGGGCACACCCAAACGCACCCAGGCACACATGGGCACGCATGGTCATACTTGGGCACACCTGAGCACACCTGGGCAGTTGGGGACATGCTGGGGAACACACGGGCAAAAAGGGGCACAACAGGGCACACCTGAGCACACCCAGAAATACCAGGGCACACCTGGAAACACCTGGGCAAACCTGGGCACACCTAGGCACACCTGGACTCACTGGGGCACACAAGAGCACACTGGGACACATCCGGGCACACCAGGGCAGACCAGGGAACATCCAGGTACTTCTGGACACACACAAGCACACCTGAGCACACCCAGGAACACCGGGGCACAGAAGGGCATACCAGGGCACACTGGAGCACACCTGGGCTTACATGGGCACAACTGGGTACACTGGAGCCCAACCAAAAACACTTGGGCACACCCAGCAGTACCGGGGTACACCCAGGCCCTCCTGGGTACACTGGGGTACAGAAGGATGTGCCCAGGCACACCAGGGGCACATCTGGGCACACCTGAGCACAGCGGGGCATACCAGGACTCACCCAGGCACACCCAGGCACACGTGTGCACATCTGGGCATACTGGGGCAAAACTGTGCACACCCGGGCACACCTGGGCACACCAGGGTACCCCTGTGCACACCAGGACACACTGGGGCACACCCGGGCACACTGGGGAACATCTGGTTATATCTGGGCACACCTGGACAAACCTGAAGACACGCAAACAAACCGAGGCACACCTGGG